GACTGACTGACTAACTGACTGACTGACTGACTGACTACCCGACTAACTGACTGACCAACTAACTGACCAACTAATTGACTGACTGACCGACCGACCGAATGACTGACCGAATGACCAACTGATCGACTAACTGACTGACCAACTGACTGACTGACTAACTGCTGACTGACTGACTAACTGACTGACTGACTAACTGACTGACTGACTAACTGACTGACTGACTGACTGACTGACTGACTAACTGACCAACTGACTGACCGACTGACTGACTGACTGACTAACTGACTGACTGACTGACTGACTGACTGACTGACTAACTGACTGACTGACTTACTTACTAACTGACTGACTGACTAACTGACTAACTAACTGACTGGCTGACTGACTGACTAACTGACTGACTGACTGACTGACTTACTGACCAACCGATCAACTGACTGATTGACTGACTAACTGACCGACTGGTTGATTGACTGACTGGCTGACTGACCGACTGATTGGCCGACTGAGCGACTGACTGACCAACTAACTAACTGTCTGATTGACTAATTACCTGACTAATTAACTAGCTGACTGAATGAATGACTCACCAATTGACTGATTGTACAAATGGCTGACTGACCGATTGACCAATCGACTGAATGACTGACTGACTAGCGGACTAATTAGTTGTAATTAATTCAATAAGAATTATAAGATTACCATCCTTTTTTTCTCTTTTTTGTTCCAGGTACTGTAATGCTGATCTCAACACTGCTTTTGTTAGCTGGCTGATGTTCCTGTGAGGTAGAAGCTTCCTGATCTTCTGGCCGATGATCAACAACATCCGCCTCTGCCAAAACAAAGCAAATAAAAACAGAGAATAATTATTACATGTACAGTTCTTCAAACTTTGAAAGACTGCATGTTCTTTTCAAATAATGACAATCACGTTGAACTGGGACGAATTTCCAGAGTTGGTAAGTTTTGCTCCAAGTAGTCCTTTCAAAATTTCTGGTTTTGAGATTTCACTGCCATCCTTCAAAGGATTTTCAATCATCCCTCCCAAGGAGTAGGAAACAGAGTTTAAATCAGTATGGAACAATATTACAGCATCTAAAATCATAGTCATCCCTTCATTTTTTTCTTAATATTAGTTCTCATTGGTGCTCATGCCAAAACACATAGCATATTTAAGTCTGTTTACAAGCCAAGTGGCCAATCAGGCTGGCGCTTAACTCCGGTTTCTGTGGTATGAAGTAACAAGGAGTATTTCTGCTCTCCCTGGATGGAATGCTGGTCCATTACAGGTTTACCCCCAGGCATTAAAATTTTCAGTACCCATTTAAACACCTGGGTGAAGAGAGGCACTATGAGAGTAAAGTGTCTTGCACAACCCAATGTGGGCCCCGCCCACGACTCAAGCTCAGACCACTCAGTCCAGAGTCCATGAGGTCACTGCCCACCCTATCATATACCTACCGTCAACATCTTCCCACTGCACTTCCTCATCATCACTTGAATCATCTGCCTCACATTCATCTGCTTTAATTTCATCAACAACATTCTCTTCTTTGACAATTGCTTTCAAATCTGGTTTCAGCCTTTTGCTCACAACTCCATGTTTTCTAGGTGATCTCTGTTCATCTTCTGGAGTAGGTACAGGTAGATGCTTCTGTTTCACTGGACTTTCTTTCTTGAGCTTCCCTTTAATATTTGCAAGAGGTACGTGTGCCCGTTTCAACACAATGGATGTGGCCTTTGGTTTCACCTCATTCTTCTTAGATGATTGTTTCAAACTTGATAATGATTTTTGTTTCTCTGCCTTTGAACAACTTTTCTCTTCGTCTGCATTTTTTACATTCTCTGGCATTTGGTCTTCAGCTAAATTCACTTTGGGTTTTTTGGAGGGAGATTCACTAAGCTCCTGGGATGAGAACTTTCTCCTCTTGCCATGTCGAGGGGGCCCTAAAATTTTAAATCATCAAAAAAAAAAAAAAAGATGTACCCTTAAGAAGAAAACAACAACATACCATACCTTTATGATACCTTACGCTTTCATGGCACTCTAATAAGCACAGACATAAAGCAAAGGGTGGGATGGGGAGGGTGGGGTACGTGCGTGGTACAAACCTTTGCAAGAGAAGTGATTCGTGATACTACAACAACCTAACGTGTTTCTTAAAGGAAACTGAGTCGCCAACTAATACCCCCTCCCCACTCCTGCAAGAAAATCTTTTCTAAGCCTGAGAATGAGTGCAGCCCTGTTGTGTGTTACGTAACTAGGGCATCTTTCATTCATAATCACTTCCATCGCTATCGCAGCTTCTGATCGACAGAATATAAGACATAATCGATTTTGTAAAGGTAAGACTTACAAAACATTGAGGGAAACTCACCGTTTTTAAGAGCTTCATCCGTCGCTTTACCACTGCTCTTGGTTGATTTCTGCAAAGAATCGGCTGGCGGTTCTATTTCGCGCTTGACTGATTGGACTCTTGCTTTAGAAGATATAGGGTTCTTCGCCACTGTCGCACTCGATTTATCATTTTTACAAACTCTTGAGGCCGTGGAAGTTTTTCTAGTAGTTTCTTTCTTTGTTTTCGCAGAATCTGACCTCAATCTCGCCATAACTCGGTTATTTTAGACGACCGATTTGCTCAAACAATAACAGTTTCACAGGGCATGTTTCGCGGGTTTCTGACCGACAAACCGCTGATCATAACATATTCACATCACGCTACGTCTTTACGACTAAGGATTGCGTGACTTGCATGTGACGTGACTTTCTCGATTTCAGTTGCAGACATGTTCATTTAAGTGAAAAGACAAAAGCTTAATACGACAGCATAACCAAGGAAAAACGGACACGCCAATGCACGTTACAAAATATGAAAAAAAAAAGAAGGTAGGAAAGAGAGGGTGAAAAACAAGTAACAACAGCATGTCAAGAGATCAAAAGTGCTTGTAAATGATCAATTTTAGGAAAAAGCTCATAATTTATCTTAGAATATCTAGAACAATATCTTAGAAATTAGTTTTATACTTAAAAATATTTTAAAATAGTAGATTGTTAACCTAGCTGTGTAATTTCAATCTTCACACATAAATTTTTCCTTTTTTATTTCAGTTATCATTTCTATACCATTTGAATTTTTTTGGAAATTATTCATATCATTCCTAACCATGAAATGAACTTGATGATCCCAGTAAATGTTGAATTACAAGGAACAGTATTATCTTATAATAAAGGAGAAATAATTTTCTCTCAATGTTTTACCTACTGTCATCACCATATTTCATTTTCTTTCAAATCATTTGCATTTTTCTTTAACATCAAGGACTTTGAAAACACTTTTGAAATAAGATAGTAAAAATATTACCAGTACTTGCCTACAAAAACAAAACTTGTTATTTAAATTCTCAGCTTCACACATTCTCATTTTCATAACCCTTTAACTTCCAGAAGTGATTGACATGCAACTTCTCCCTATAATATCCATACATTATCCAACAAACAGGTAACGGGAGTACCTAAACTTATCAAGTAGAAGCTATTATCTTAATCTATCACCTAATTCTCGTTACTTATTCACAAGGAAATGTTCTTTACACCAATATGTAATCCTAATAACATGATGCTTATATCTAATTACTTAGTGTCTTTCTGTATTTTGACTATTTAGTCGATGTTTGTTGTCTATTCAACACTTGGTTTCATGAGCCGACCAAGAAACAGAATGGCTCCCGATTCATTGTGTCTTATGAGGAACAAGAAAGGGTGATCAGCTTTGAACATTGGCTTTGGCAAAGGTAAACACATTAGATCAATACCAATGGCAGTAGCTGCAGCTGCTTCAGTGCCTTCTTCATTCACCTCAACAAATGCTTTGTGCACAATCTTTGAAACACACAATGGTTCAGGGGAGATACCAGACAGGTCAGCCTTTCCAGGAATAAACATCTCTTCCACTCCCATCTTTGCCAAGATGTCGTTGAGGTCAAACTGCTGAGTCAGCTTAAATTTAGGCATAATGACTTCAACTTCATCCATTGAACCATCAAGCTGGGATAGTGACTGCTGCAGAGTATCATAGGTGATCTTGTTTTCCAGCTGGGCCAAACCATCCATTTCGACGGGAAGAAAGATTGCCATGGACAATTTATTGCCCAGGTATGGCATTTCAAGAATTTGACAACCCAGATCCTTTGACTCCACGAACTTAAAATCACCTTCTTGACGCATCATTTCAACTTTCATTTCTTCATCCTGTGACAGAAAAAATGAGCCTGTGAATGTGTCATCTTTCTTGAACTTCTGTTGCCACACACTTTTGAAGTAGATCGCGTTCACCAGAGTCAGCCTGGTATCTGAACTCAACATTCCTGAAGGAATAAGATCTTTAATCTTATCGTTTGTTTGCTGTTCTACCCATTTGTTAATCTCTTCTCTGGCTCTCTCGACACTCGCGATATAGTCTACCAAAGCGATTTCAGCGTGATAGAGCTCTCGCGTTCCTTGTTGAAAAGACTGCAGGATTTCGAAGCTCTTTTGCACGAAGAGTCGGTTAGCTATAAGAAGCTTGTTGTTCTCGTCGCTTGCCCCATTCAAGCTATCGATGAAGTTCTTCATGCTCTTACCTAAATCAGCCGATGAAACTGAATCCACGTGCAAAACTTTCATTAGCTCCAAAGAAGTACTTCCCCTCGCTCCTAGAGAAGTCATAGCAAGGGCGATCAGTAGACTTGCAGGAGAGTAGAAAAGGTTTTCACCGGCAAATTTATCGCCATTTGACAGGCGTGTATGAAGATCTAGTGCAAACTTGTTTGCGGCTTCAGACTGCAAGGCAGCCATGTTTCGGGTTATTTAATAATCCTGCTTGTGCTTGTGCAACCAGGTCTTGCCCCAACTCGTTTCCAGTATTTTCCTCGCGCGATGTAACGCGAAAATGTAACACGATGGAAGATAAAAGCCCAATCACGTGACACCCGTGGGAATTTGTAGCCGTATACCCCCCCCCCCCCCCCCCCTGAAAAAATCTTTGCTTCTTCCCCGCGGATCAACCTGAGAGCATCGAAGCTCGGAGGCGGCCACTGTTTTTGTCTCATTGCCTCTCACGAAAGAACAAATTTACAATGTCATTGTTCAGCCAAAATTGTGAGAAATATGAAGTTTATCCCGGAAAAGAAACATTATCTGTGTTTGAGAGAGCTTCTAGTTGCTTACATGAAAAGACGAAAAATTGTTACTTGACGATGCTTGACAATGTGAAACTTTGACCACGTTGCAAATGGTGGGAAACGAGAGAAGATTGCGTGACTTACCTCTGAAGTGACAGTCTCGCTTCTTTCTATCAGACAAACTCGGAGAGACAAAAGCCTAATTTATACGACAGAATAGCTAAAAGTAAACACAGATACACATACATGCAAATACACGTGTCCTAAATATGTAAAAAGTAAGAGAGAGAAAACCAAAAGTGGCAACAGAACAAAAGATATCAAGAATGCTCACACTGAAGAAAATGAGTGTCTTTTGACTTCCGATTATTTCGGCTAAATTAATATTCATATCAACAACTAAGAGTGAATGCGACAAGAAGAAAGAAGAGAAGGAAAATTCCACAATTGTTATCATTTCCCTTGGATTTTTCTCAACACAACCCGTTTCCAGTCTTTTTCACATGACAGTGTAAGTTGTTTAAAAGTCTGGAATATGACAGAAAATTCGCAATCGCTGTTCCTTGCCAGGTAAGGTAAAACACTACGATAAAAGCTCATTTTACCTCTTAAAGACGTGCGGAATTTGAAGCCGTGGAACCTCCCCTTCATTTTTTGAAAAATCTTAGCTTCGTCGTTGTAGTTCAACCTGAGAAAATAGAAGTTCGTAAGCGGTTATTTTTACAGGTTTCAGTATTTAGCCAAACATCAAAATTGTAAGAGGTTAAAGTGTCTTCTGGAAACGAAACATTATTAGTGCTCAAGCTTTCAACTATTGATATTGTGTGACAATGTCAAATTGATTACGTCATTTTCGTTAAAGGTAAATTCGTGAGGATTCTAACGCTGCATCTATTCCGGGAATTTGAGAGACAAAAATGGTGGCCCTGAGTTTGGTTTCGTTGGGGCGTTTCGCTCTTATGGTCCTTCTGCTTCTCCAGTGTGGTTTTCTTACAGCTTTTCCGGTCCGATACAAGAATGATTTTCGTCTGATACCCGTGGCATTGCTCTATGCCCCCGCGATCATTTACTCGACATATTTTCAAGCACAACTTATTAAGACATTCTTCACTTGGTTCCTATACGTTCTCTTTGCCCTGATACCACACGTTGCTATCACTTTTGCGCTATGCAGAGATGAGCTCGATAAGCACAACTTTCTTGGGCCGAACTGTCTGAGAGTGATTCTTTGCATTACGCCTTTAGTTTTTCTGCTTTTGGTGAATACGGCTAGCGATTTGAACGAATCTGAAGAGTACCAGCGGTTAGCAACGCTATTGTCCGTTCAGTCAACCATCGATCTTTTCGATGGAGTAGAAATGTTGGGTATTGTGATCGACAACAAGGAAAATGCACTCGGGATTTCGAAAGAGTTTGAGACAGGATTGATCGTCATGGCTTGCTTGAGTTTTCTGTTGACCCTGTCACAAGTAATGGAGAAAGACCTCGGCAACATTGATGGGAGCGTTTCGCCTCGTGAAAAAGTGGCGATTGTTGGAAATGTTTTACAAATTTTTGTGGTGAATTTGCCATTCCTGATAATGCGCCTGGTTGTGTTTATAAAATATAACAAAGATGAGTCTATTTTCATTGCAAAGAATGGCATCGCCACATTTCTATCTGCTTTTCAGATTTACTGGATTAAAAAAACTGAGAGTGAACTACGACTGTGGCAGTAATACGCCCGCAGAGTATTATTCGTTTTCCTTCAATTTACTACCATTACTTAACAAGAGTGTGTGCTTGAAAACTATAATTAAAGCCAAATATTTCAGTTTTAAGAATCCGTTCATACGCTAAATGATGAAATCATGGATAAAAAATAGCTATAACGAGATGTGCGATTCTATCACCTGCGTATCTTGTGATAACATTTGCATTGGTGAAATTTTATCCTGAGATAAAAGTTGTTGTATTGAGTCCTCTACAGTTTGATGATTGAATGATACTAAATGAATTGTAGTTACGTCGGTGAAAATGAGCAGCTTTAACTGCGGTGGTCTATAAGGATTTCAATGTCTAAGAAAAGCCATAACTACACACGTGTAAAATTATTACAATTTTTTACATTTTGTATATTGAAGAATGATGCAAGGCAAGGTTTTCTTCTCTCAATATAAATCATGAAAAATGAGAAGAAATGCCAAAACCTGTTGTCCGGAATTATGCTCATCAGGGGCACAATTTTGTGATATCTCTGATAACATTCAGGAAATTATGGTCACATATTAATTCAAGCGCTGATCAAATATATTATTTATCCGAAACCACCGAAAATGAAACTGGGAAACTTACCAATTTTAGTGGCTGCGCAGTTGATCCTCGACACACCTTAACATTTTTTCAAGATTCGAATAGATTTTCGGGAAATTCCCTAGCCTTCAGAAAACGAAACTGGCAGCGAAGCTTTATGACTCAATCCATGAAATAAAATGCTCACTGTTCTTCTTTCTTTAGGTTCTTTTTCTGAACTCCTGTCCACAAAGAAAATAGTTAAAAAATCCATTCCAAGATTCTCTTTATCTTGGCTCGATAAGGTATGCTACAATTCTCAAAATTTTACAATTAATTTTCGAGGCTAAGTTAGAAGCTTACGACAAAATGCAAATTAATTACTGTTAGGGATATTTCCCTTGCATATGTTATTTCCGAGTCGAAAACGATTACACTGCAGATTTCACACTATAAAGTCTTCGATGAAGCCACAACCCTTTTAAAGAGAAAAGTGAAGCATGGACTGCAGATTGATTTTGCTCGGTCGTTTTCTGGCCTTTCTTCTTCTGTTCGTCCAATGTGGGTTCCTGACAGCTTTTCTTGTCTGGTACAGAGATGATTTTCGTTTCCTGCTCTCGTTTCTGTTGTTTACTCCAGCCCTGATTTATTATGTATTTTGTCTGGCCACTGCGGCTAAACTTCGTAACGTGTTCCGTACATGGGGTCTCTACATTTTGTTCGGTTTGATCCCTTTCATCGCAGTTATTTTTGCGTTGTGCGGAGACGTACTCGACGAGGAGAAATTCCTCAGTCCGACCTGTTTGAAAGTGATCCTGTGCATCACGCCTGTTCCCTTTCTCCTTCTGGTGAATACAGCAAGCGATTTGGGTGAACACAAAGAGTACACAGCCCTGGCCTGGACACTGTCTATTGTGACAACAATAGATCTTGTCGATGGCGTCGAGATCCTGGATATTGTGCTTGAGGAAAGAGAGAACAGTCATGGTATCCCAAAAGAGTTTGAATACGCTATGATAACAGCGGCGTGCGTGAGCTTCCTGTCGACTTTGCTGCAAATTGCGCAGCATAGACTCAACGAAGGAAAAGTTTCTCTTCACCGAGGAGTGGCGATCCTCGCAAATGCTTTGCAAATCATCTTCGTGAATTCGGCGTTCATGGTAATGCGACTGATACTGCTTATAGAGTATAGCAATGATGGTAACGAGACCCTCTTCATCATGAAGAATCTGATCTTCATCTTCCTCTCCGCGTCACAGATCTACTGGATCCACAGAGCTAGATGAATTTGCGAATGAGGATAAACTGAACTCAGATATATTTAAGGAAAGGAAACTGAAGACTTTTTACGGAAGACATATTTCGACGATCATCGACAGCTGCTTGTTAAGTTTCCCTGATATTTTAATTTCTAACAGAGTCTCGTTGCCAAAAATTGAAAGTATTCCGAAAGAGAAAGAAAGATGATACTTCGTTCTTAAAACAAGATATCTTTGCGTTTGTTTTAATCTTCATCGGCTATGTGTCCAGTTTTTGATTTTTTAGCAAATGCTTAGTTAAATTCTGGAAGTAAAACCAAATTATGGTTTTGCAAATTGTAAATTTAAAAAGAATGATGAAGACTCGCTGTGATTTTAATTCGATCGAAACTTGCATTGTCTTTCCAGTTTCTCGTTGTTTTATCATATAATCATCAAGAACCCACCTCGTTCACGACCTTTGCAAGGCACTTATTTAATTTAATGTTCAAAGACGATAATGATGCAAACACAATAAAATGTAAGGAATGACACTAAATTTTCGCTGCGAGTGAGTGCACCTTGCACGATGAAAGTAGAAGTTATGTATAAAATGGTTGTGACGGGGCAAGGTTTCATTTATTTTAGGGCCTTTTTGTATCACCACAACATGTGTGTTTGGGAGAAGATCGATTTCTGTTTGTGAGGTTTTATTAATTTTACCGCTCCGAACATTAATATTGTGCTTTCTGTGTTTGGAAGTGTAAAAAGTTAGTATTTGTCAAACTCTATAATCTTATTCTAACAGTTAATAAAAACAGTTATGTATAAAAAGCTTTAGTGTTGTTGTTAGACTCTATTGGTTTCCTCGATCAAAACAGTTTACAGTCCTAAATGTCAGACCAAAATGATTATTTTATGCTAGCCGAACGTCATTTAGTAAATAAAGAAACTCCCCAAAATTTCACGATTTAAAAAGGGTTGTTGAAGATTATTTTCATAAAGTGGCACGCTTTGTTATTTTGCACCCAGATCCTTCTATCAGATAGCTTTTGTTTCCGGGGAATCCCCTAAAACAGAATATCAGCGAAAAGATTTCTCAGAAAGATAAGCCTGGTGCAGTTTCGATAGATTTCTCGGAAATGTTGCAGTCAGAGGAAATATGAGAAATGAAGTTTAAAAGATTAAAAAAGAAAACTGCAAATCAATTTTATACAAATACTCTAAGAAAGGCAAAAGATGGCTCCATCGTCCCAACGCGATCCGTAAAAAATGAGTAGTGTTTGGGGAATCCCCGAATCATTGTTATGCAACACTTTTCTCAGAAACTCCATGTGTCACTTGGCAAGATTTCTCAGAAATTGCTCAGTTAACAACTCCAGATTTTGAGCGAATTAATGTTTCTGGCAAAAATCTCGTCAGTTCAAAATCTGTACACTGTTTTGTTTTTTTTAATTGAGAGCAAAAAAGGAAATCACAGAACCGCAGATTGATGAAGCAGCATAAAAATGTTAAGTCTCCAGGAACGACCAAATTACGTATGCAAAGTGTCTGTGCATGTGAGCTTCTGGAATATTCGGGTAATTCCCTTTTGCATCGTTTGATCAAGATCGATGTGGCGTCACGTCCGTCGCTGCTAAGTTTTGCTATACAAATATATGGTATTAGTTACTCTTGCAGTAGTAAGCAGTAGTAAGCATAATTTGCCTACACAGTAAGATCGTCCAGTTTTAGACAGCTTTCACTGATACACATAATTATGGCTTCGTTTTTTACATGGCTCGGACGATTGGCTTTCCTCAGTCTAATAATTACACAGTGCACATTTCTGTCTGCTTATCTCGCCAAGTATGAAGGCAGCTCCAAGTGGTTTATCACTGCCACCTCCTTTGGGCCAGCAGTTTTCTTTTGGATTCTTCGTTTAATTCTCAAAGAGCTGTACCTTGGGTGCCTCATTCGAATTTGGAGTCTATATATTGTGGCCTTGGTTGTAAACATTGCAATAGTATTTGGAATCGTCGGAGATAGAATTGACAAGACCGAGTTTTTAGGTCCAAATGATAACTTCCC